CGCAAATTAAAAGTAAAGAAGGAAATAATTTATATAATATTAACTAAAAAATTAAAAAAAAAATAGCAAAACTGCCTAAGATAAAAAAAAAAAAAAAAAAAAAAAAAAAAAAAAATATCCTGAAATGAATATATTCTTTGTTGACAATGTGATCTTAAAAATTCCATTAATTTATCATGTTTTTTTAAACTTGCCCAGGTAGTTTTATTAACTTGAAGTGTATTATCAATACACTTTATTTCCTATAAATTTTAAGAATAATTTAAATATTTATTTTTTAAAAAAGTATACTAAATACTTAATCTGAAACAATTCATCTATATCTATATCTAAAACTGGATCATAGCATTTAAATAGTAAAACAAGTTGCTTAGTTCGCTTACATAAAAGATCTTTAATATCAGTAATACTATTTTGAATTGCCTTTTTTAAGTTTCTATTATTATTAGCTGCTTTTCTAATATCTTCAAGTGTGTTTAATTGCTCAAAAATTTTCTCATACTCTGTACTAAATTCATTATGTACTAATGCAATATTTTGCAATCCTAAATTAAGAATTGACATAATTCTTTTAGCAGGATTTGCCCAACTATGGTATGGTGCTATTCTCATTGTTATAAGCATATAAAAATCACCTTTAAAAAATAATAAAATAAGAGAAATTTGTACAGATCCAAAATTTGTTTTATGATCAGGGCCGCCATCTGTATATATGCATAAAATTGGTAGAATTTTACTAGAAAATTTCTGATTGATAGCTTGAAAAAATTCAGCTGCATGTCGAATTGCATTGCTACTTTCAAATACAGTATCCTTATATCCTACATAAACATCACCACTATAAAAAGAACCTGAAATATCATTTGGAATATTACAAAAAAAAAATAACTGATGGAGTAATTGATAATTTGGTAAAATCATGATTACATGCAGAAAGCATATTATTTAATAGAACTAAAGATGGTCTATTTCGAACTCCTGAAGAAGTAGGAACTTTTTCACCAATTGAAATTTTATGTTTATTATCTGCTAAAATAAAACATATATATTCTTGATATAAAATTGCAAATTCATGCAAATATTGAAAATAAGCTGCACAATAATATGCATCAGAATGAAATTTTCTAAGCTGCTGACTTTGAACTTGATATTTAATTTTAAATTTTCTAGTATATTTTATTGCATGATTTATTGTTGAATTTGTTGGCCAAAATTGTAAACGAATCTATTCTAAGCTTGGTATACAAATTGAATCTGGAAGAGGATCTCCATATCGAAGTATAAGTCGTTGAATTATAGATTTTTGAAGATCTCATATAGAAACAAACCATGGCACATATAAAATATTTCCATGTCTTCGATCATTTACTGCTGGAGTATTCGAATTTGAATATAATCAAATTTTAATAATTAAAAATATAATTTTAGCTTAATAAAATTATAAATAATTACTTCATCAAAAAATGCTTGCAACTCTTCCCAAAAAAAATCAAATTTTGTTTCACTAAACCCATTATTTGTCTGAAAATCAAAAACAATATCTGGATTTTCAAGCTCTAACATTAATTGTAAACATTCTTGTACATCTTTACTATCTGTATTACAGGCAGACATATCACTAGTAAGATCATGATGCAATATATTAAGAATAGTTGGATTTAATGTCTTTATTAAAGAATACTAAATAATTAAATAAGTATGTATATTTTAATAAAATTATTAGTTTTATGATAGAATTTTTAATATTCTTACTTTATTGGTAAAAGTTTTTCTCATTTTTCATGTCATATATTGTGGAATCTTTTCATTAATTGCAGCAAGTGTTTGAGCATTATGAGTTTTATGCTCATTATTATGACTTTATAATTCAATAATTTGCCAAGCATAATTAATACTACCCAGATAATTTCCTTGATTATATCTAAATAAATATATTTATTTATTAATTTAATTAAATTTAATAAGTATAGATTAAAAATTACCTATATAAGCAAATAAAAAATGATAATTTTAATTCTACAATCCATTGATGATGCTTAATATTTTCTGATGGAAGAAATTCCGAAATTTTAATAAACTCATATAAATCTTTTTCAGTAAGAATCATTTCTAAAGCTTTATATTTGGGGTTAATATTTAAAACTCTTGTAATTATTGTTAATTTGCTATACTTATTAGGTGTACGAACTATTGTAGTAGAATGATATGCACTATAGATAAGTTGAGCAGACTTTTTCAAATGCTCTACATATTTTCGCATCATGGTAGTAAAACTAAATACTTCAGAAATAATTTCAGTCCAGCATTTTTTACTTGCCCATATTTCACTTGCACTATATTCTAATAATTTACAATATTCAAGTAATTTTTGTTGAGAAAGCTTTTCTTTTTTATGATGTGAAGTAAAGTAAAAAGTATTATAAGTAGACCCAGATTTATACATTGCTAATTGTTTAAACAAAGAAGGCATATGACATGCACGATTTTGGAGTAATTTAATATGTGGATCAATATACCATATAGCATTTGATAAGCGCTCTATAAATATTTTGCCTCGTGAGTCTTAAATTCCACTAGACCATCCTACTTTTTTTTTCTTCAAAAAGGTCAATAAGCTCATTAAATAAATAATCATGGCTATTACCTCTTGTTAATTTTTTAGACAAATGAAGTCACTTAGCATTACTTATTAACACAAAGTTTATATCTAAAGATACAGGTAATGTTTCTTGTATTTTAGAAGATTCAAGTAAAAATCTGACTATTTTGAAGTTTAACTGAATCAACGCATGCAAATAATCAGTTAATCCATCTTGCAACAATATCCAATTGTCAGCTTTTTTCTCACAGCCAAAAACAAGAATATGTTTCTCCAAAAAGTGATCACTAGCTACTTCAAAAAGTAAATCTTTGAAGGTTCCGTTTTCTACTATATGGGCTATATTAATAGCAGTTTCATACAAAACTTTAAAAGGTTCCTCTACTATTATATAGATGTAAAACATGATGGTATGTATCAGTTCTCAAGCAACAATAACATGCATAATTTTTATATATTTCTTTAAAAAATCATATCACATTAATGATTTACTAAATTTAGTATTAGTATTAAGTCATAGATTAGATCTGCGCTATACGCAAGTACTATGTCAATCAAAACTATATATGGTCATTTAATAAAATTTATTTATTAATAAGTAGCTGCGCGACGTTGTCATGCAAAACCAGGAACAGAGAAATTAGTATATCTGATATTAGATATTATAAAGAGAATTTTTTAAATGTATTTTTACATACATGAATTTAGCATAGTGTACACTGACTTTACCACTAAAAATTCGGCACGAGATATATGTATATATTCAGTTAGAACAAAATAATTAATATTCTCAAAGATGCATGATTTGTAAATGACCTTCCATATATAGTAATTCTAACTCAATAAGGGATGCGATGAGAATCATGAGAAGCACAAGTGCGATTCTATATCAACAAGTACCGGTTCAAATCTAGCAGACCTCAATTCGTGACCCAACCCTTTCTTCTGCCATTTTTATATTCTTATTTATTTCGTATCAATATTATAGCTACTAAAATTAATATCAAGTGTTATATTGATAGTCAACCTGCATTATACAGGCGAGAAATAGCGGCTAGCATAAATCATGCAAAAAAATTTTCGCTCAAATTTTTGATGATCAGTGATTATTATTTCATCAACCCAATAAAAAATTCTACGAAAAAAAACAGAAAATCTAAAAAATCTAACGAACATATATGAAAATTCACATCGGGCTACCAGTATTTATACCAAAAAATCAAGCTTTTACTATCATTTATTACAACATCTGTAAATTAATACGGTTCCAGGTTGTAGGGTGCGGCGACTTAGTGAAGTGGTGGAGTTGTCGCACCCCCAAACGGAAGATCTAGAGTTCGAATCCCACAGATGACAATTTTGAAAAAACTAGATCTGTATCAGTTAACATTAAGATTATCGGTTGGATCCAGATATCTGTAATCTTGGTTACACCATCTTGAATGGGAGCTTTGGAGCAATAAATCCAGGAAACCAGAATTACTGAAAACCCGTTTGGCAAGTCCTGAGTTGGGAGTAGCAGCGATCTTCAACGGTGCTACAGGAAGACTAAATTTGGAACTGGAAACTGAGACTGGAGAACTAAGTGATCAGGTCTTTAAGAAGGGGAGACACATCAGCCGAACC